GAGAGAGAGAGAGAGAGCGCTGTTAACACTGGGATGGTGTAATAACATGAGGCGATAACAAGCCGATTTTGCATCTCACTTTCGAAGTACATGTTAATAAGCAAGCAGCTGCTGTGCATTTTGGTCGAGACGAACGATTTTTGTTTGACAATTGCACCTTAAAGACTGCAGAATGTGTTTCATTACAAAATATCATTCTCAATGATTTAAACGCTCGCCGCCAAGTGCTGTCAGACAGACGAAACTTTACAGCTGTTAAGACTGCTGGTACCTCAAAATAGCAGATCAGCGAGCGCCCTTTTGCAGAGAGCGAGAGTTTAACTGATGCACTTAACATGGTGTGCAAATGTAATTGCAATTCACTCAACTAACATTTGTAGCAGTCAAAATTCAATTATATTACGCCTGCTCAGTACTATATTTACAACGATTGATCTCTTCTCCATCAAGCTGGTGGTCACACCAATGATATCGATCGATATTATATGTTAAGTACATAGTTGCATGTTAAGTTGCAGATGTTATGTTACAGTCTTAGTTTATTTATTTAGTTATGTTATACCAAACGCAAATATACAAGCAATTTAAACAAATGAACGGCGTATCTAACAAATATGAATCTTACGTTGTTCACAGCAACGTTCTTCGATTGCCACCACAGGGTCGCAGCAGCCGTCTGCGTATGCCGACGGTGTGCGCATGGAGGAGATTGTTGAGGGGACTGTCGGCGCCTTGCATATCCTTGCGCGTGAGTCGCATAATCGGGCTCTCATACGCCAGCAATCGGTTATACCGATCTTTGTGCGTTTGCTTTTCAACGAAATCGAAAACATTCAGGTGAGCGAGTCGAGTCATGGACTCGTATTGAGATTTGCAGATTTACAATATATATATATATTTGTATATTGCCTGCAGCGTGTCGCTGCTGGCGTGCTTTGCGAGCTGGCCGCGGATAAGGAGGGCGCCGAGATTATTGAGCAGGAGGGCGCCACTGGGCCGCTCACTGATCTACTGCATTCGCGCAACGAGGGCGTGGCCACCTATGCAGCAGCCGTGCTGTTCCGCATGAGCGAGGACAAGCCCCAGGACTATAAGAAGCGACTGTCCATTGAGTTGACCAATTCGCTGTTGCGCGAGGAGAACAACATCTGGACCAACGCCGACCTGGGCATGGGTCCAGACTTACAGGTGCGTAATATTGCCATTTTGATTTGATCCTCACTCTCCCCATAAACATGAGTGTCGATTAATTTAACTACGACCTAGTTTTGATTCGGATGTATATATGATAAAATCAAATTTTTATAGTTCTTGAATTTGTACATAAGCAATTTGTAGCGTTTCAGATATGTACATAAATAAATATATATATATAATATAATATATATATATATATAATATAATATATATATATATATAATATAATATATATATATATATATATATAACTATTTATTTGTAAGCATATCAATTATGTATATATTGTATTTGAAAATTATCTACATATTCCATTTTTGAAATTATTCCTTATTTTGTATATCGATAAACGATTATTTTTAATGTTAGACTTAAGTGGAGTTTGCAAGCATTGGCCACTGATAGATAGATGATCTTCTGGAATTAGTCACAATATTCGAAAGACAAAAAATATATATATATTAATCCAAAACACTCTCAATTAGCGTTAGTCGTCCACCACATGAAAGTAATTAAACGAATTGTTACCCCATTAATTTGCCGCCATATACATATATGTGCATATCTGTGTGTATATATATATGTATATTTATCTTTATATTTAAACTTATTTATTTTTAAATGTTGCGTTCATACACCTATATATATAATTCTCAACTTTACTAATTAACGTTGTCATTATTTTTGATTTTGTAATTAATTTGTATTTTGATTTATTTCGTTTCTTTTTTCTTTCATTATGTTTTCTTTGTGTGAAAAACCAAAAATCGAACAAACCAAATATATCACATACACACACTCACACACACACACACACATACACATACACACCGACCGAATTCACTTGCATTACGCACACATATAATATGAACAACCATCACACAAAAACAACAATCAACCATCAATCATGACTACTTTTTGCGCATCCTTTCTCTAAACAACAAATGACGCAACACAAAAACTCGTGTTCTGTGTCTGTGTGTCTCTTCTCTTTCCTAACAACATTTCATTTCTGATCCATCCAAAAAAAATTCAATATATATATATGTGTTAAAAAAAAATCACAAACACAACAACAATCGACCTACTTTCGATCACACACACACACAAACATACACACATGCACATTATACAAACTCACATTCGAATTGACTACACAAACACGAACACAAATCACGATCACAATCACGATCATCACGATCACAGGATATGCTTGGAACCGATGAAGCATATGAGGGCCTTTACGGACAAGGTCCGCCCAGTGTGCACAGTTCGCACGGAGGTCGCGCATTCCATCAGCAAGGTATGTATGCTTGCTTCCATCTACCTACTACTACGGCTAATGAGGAGATCAACACACAATCAACACTAATCTTACAAGTAATCCAAACCGACCCGCCACGCCACGCCCCGCCCCGCTCTGACCTGACCCCACTCGTTTCATTGCATATATTTTAAGTATGAATGAATAGATGCATAATCGTTGTTTGTTCAAGCCAAGCCGTAAAACAAGAAGATGGCATAAAATGGGTTTGCCTTTTAATCCGACACCGACCACCCCAACCGCCTGCCCCCTCCCCCACCTGACGCCTTTGTAGTTGATTGACCCCAAGGAACTCCCCACCGATATCACTAACCATTACGTTTCTATCGGTGTCTCATTAATCGATTACATATATAAGTGTCTTACGAATCGATTAACATATAAGTGTTTTTATTAATCGATAAACATTAACATACATAAGTGTCTTATTATTCCATTTCTACATAAGCAAACAATATTCCTTCAAGTCTATTAACAAAAACATTATGTTCGCACGGAAAATTAGAACAATTCCATATACAGAAATAATATCGTGTGAATTTATCTTAAGTCTCGTATATGCATAAGTAGGCACATATATAATCAATCCATATCATCCATATGTATTTCTGTTTCCTGACCACCCACTCAACTCAAATCAACTCACCCAGCGCTACCCAAAATATCTCTAGCTCCAATCAGCACTACCCTCTGACCCCCGCCCCGCTCTGCATGTAAATTGTGAAAGAACTGGAAAGAAACCGAGTATAACTTTACTTCATTTCTTTTTGCGTGTGTTCAGTTGGTTACAATCCCCCCGCCCCCAGCTCCCGCCCTTTATTTTAACTTCATATTCAGTGCCATCTCGAAAATGGAAAAGAATCATTTTTACCAATGTTTTCATGGCTGACTCTTTACAGTTGTAACGCCAAACATTTAGATTACAGTTCGAATTTCTGTCGAAATATGTTAAACTTTATGTTGCACAAGAGAGCTTTGAGCGACTACTTACACATATACACACACACACATGCATTTCTACGTGCTCCAGCGAAAGAGAGAGCGCAAGAACTGCATTTTGAGCTTAGGTGAGTGCTAAACCTGCACACACGCGCACACACATTTGTATTACATGCATACATATTCTGGAAGGGAAAGCAGTGAATGTTAAATATAAAAGTTAACGAGTTGCAGTCGTCGAAATCTACAGAGTGCTGTTAGCATAAACTCTGTACACTATCAATACTTAAAATACATATCGGCACACACGCACGCACACACACATACACACACACGTCCACACACATACACGCACAATCACAACACGCCACCCACACACAAATTCCTTGTGCAGTTAAAGGCGCCCTTAAAAATGTTTTTTTTTTTTTTTTTGTTATTTTTCTTATTTAATTTACGTCTGATTACAGAATATTGTTTCCCTTATAAGTAAGCCTAAAGCTATTATTACCTTCTCAAGTTATTGATTATCGTTGTGCGTTATGTTTAGGTTAAATAAGCCGTAATTTTGCACGTTTTCTTTGAAGAGAATTGTAGAATTGAAGTGCATATGGTGCATATATATCATATGTAGTAAAAATATATAATAGAATGCATGTAATAGAAATGTCTGAAAGAAGCGTCGCTTATATATGTATGTATCTATGTTTATAAGTCATCTGAGAGCGGCTGAGTGCTCTGTTTTTTCTAGCCAATTAATATTGAATATCTTTTATACATATATAATTATCCTTTAATAATATCGTACATAACATTGTTGCCCCAAAAAATGTTGTGGCGAGCATGCGAATAATTGTTGCTTACTTTTGACTTCTCATTCTACAGGATATGATACTCTACCAATAGATTCAATGCAGGGTCTCGAGATCAGCAGTCCAGTAGGTGGTGGTGCTGGCGCTGCTGGCAATACAGTGGGCGGTGGTGCTGGCGGCAGTGGCGCTGCACCACCGGGTGGGGCACCCACATCGCCCTACTCCATGGACATGGATGTCGGCGAGATTGATGCGGCCGCTCTTAACTTTGATTTGGATGCCATGCCGACGCCACCCAATGACAACAATAACTTGGCTGCCTGGTACGATACTGATTGTTAAGCAGAGATGACGATAACGACGACGATAACGATAACAAGAGCGATAACGTTGATTCCAATGTCGTGCAATTAAAATACAACACATACATTATATTAAACAAAACAAACAAAAAACATAAAGCAGAACAAAACATATATAAAGTGCGAAGTCTTACATATTACCCATATACACAAAAATGGAAATTAAACGAATGTTTGCAATAGAATCATAAATTAAAAACGTTTTCCAACTTAATCATTCTCTGAAATATACTATATGCGGGTGGGTGGTTTCTAATAATAATAATAAATAATGCTCGTAAGCAAATTGAAGACGTCTCCTCGTCACGACTATGCCAATCTAAAAAAGGATTTCACAAATAAGTTCTTTGCATTGAAACAAGTGTGCAATTCAAACAAAACAATTGACATGCTGTTCAATTTATTAAACATTTAACTAGCTGATATAACCTATTCTATAAATGCTTGCCGAACCACTTGTGGTCCACTGGCGACAGCCATCGATGGCAACCATTTAAATTGTTTTGTACAACATATTTGAAAGTGAAGGGATTCTCGTTTTGGCGTGCCTGGCGCTCCTCTGTCGCCCGTTGCTCGTCCAGCATTTGCTGGGAGACAACAGTGGCCTGGAAGGGCAGCTGATTGGCCACCTGCTGGAGGAAGCCGCGGCACTCGATGAACTCGCATCTGCCAGCGATCTCAACGATGACACGACCCGCCTTAATCGGTGTCACATAATGATCGATGGCCCCCTTGCCGCCGCCCATGCGCTGGCCCTGTCCCTTTTTGGTTATCGGCTGCCAGGGTGCTGGTACTCGCCATGTGGCGAACATTGTGTTTACATTCATCTTCCTGCCAATCGTCAGACGCATCATCTCGTAGTGGCCCCAGCGCAAACGACCGCCTCCAGTCGCAACTATCGCATACTGTTTGTGGAGCAGCTGATTGTGGACCAGCTCCGGACCGCGCATATAGCGTAGACGCTTCTGCATTTTGGGAGGCCGCAAATTGGGCGGATGTTGCGGCATCCGCTCCATAATTCGCAGCTTGGGTCGTTCCACTTTCTCAATATCTACAAACATCATTATCAACAAACATAATCATTGTGAGTGATATAATCGGGAGTGGTCGACTATGAGTTACCCTGTACCCAGTTCCAAAAATGAATATTGTATTGTATTTATTGTGAAAATCGGTAGATCGAATTCACTGATTCGATTCATCAGCATATGAATTTGGTCATTTTAATTGGGTACAGGGTACGAGAATATTTACTTATGCTTACTTTCATATTTGATTGGCGGTGGGAAATATTTGAGGCCGGCTATACAATTGTAGTTCACATTTGCTGCTATAAATAAATATTGAATGATCTCGGATAAGTTGAATATGTCCTGTCGAACAAAAATGAATCACTTACACGCAATGCTGTTTTTAAGTACTTGTGTGACCGTTTTCAAGCACCACATGTTGTTTTCTTTTATTATTTTATAAGAGTCAATTCACGAATTCTTGCCTGCCGCTGGTTGCATCAGCGCAGCGTTGCCAGACTGGCAAACTCTCGATTTTAAGCTGTGATAATTAATTGTAATAATAACATGATAATCTTAAATGCACATATCTATTATATGCTATATTCCATAATTATCGCTCAGTTCTGCGTACATTGGCACATTTACATAATATTTAATAAATTATTGTATGTACAGGGGCATTTGTGCTTTCGTATTGCAGCACTGGTTTCGACGCAGAGCTACCATACCAGACATTGCGTTCTCACATTCACGATTTGTCGACATGCGCCTATTTTAATATTCAACTGGAAATTACGAAAAGTTCTTAATCGAATTGCAATTTTGTTTATTAATGCTAAAAATAACGAACATTATTTAATGCTACACATATGATTCGTATTAATTATTGACCATGCTCAGGTACAGGTTGAATATTAAATATATTCGGCCAGCTCTATAGTGGATACACAGTATTTTCAGTGTGGGTGTGTGTACATAATGTTATCGAAAAATGCAACGCTGCTGAAGTGTGGTATTTTTCTTCATATATTATCACTGGCTAAAGTTTAGGATACCCTGCGCGTACACGAAAATCATTTTTTTTGTCTAAGCAGTGTATATTTTGAAACATTCTCTATATGTAGATACAAACAAACCGAACTCGGAATCGTAGTGCATTAAGCTAGAATTGTGCTAGCGCTTAAATGTGTGTGTTGGCCGCATAGTTTGTTGTTATGAATATATCGAAAGTGACAACATCGCTTGCTGCTGCGGCTGCTGCCGCCGAAAAAGCAAAACCCGAACGTGTAACATCTGCAACGGCGGCGCTCAGTTTTAACACAATAACCATACAGAAGCGCAGCAGCGTTGATGACACCGATGATGCCAATCGCAAGAAACTAAAACGCGACATTGTTATATGCACGCCCACAACCAGTTTACCCGCCAAACAACGTGTAGCTACATCTACAACAACAATATCAGCAGCAGCAGCAGCAACAGTAGCATCACCAGCATCAGCAGCACAACTACCACCACCAACAACAGGAACAGCAGCAGCAGCAGCAGCGTCGACAACATCCACAATCAGCGTTAAATCAACAACAACAACAACAGACGAACCCCAATTTGTCAGTCAGGCGAACGCCAAGACAGAACCTGCTGGGTCTGCTGCTGCTGCTGTCGCTGCTGCTGCTGACGTCTGCTGGGAAGCACGCGACGATCAAATCATTGTCTGCGAAATGAGCGCCATTAAGTCCGAGGAGTCGTCCGGTACCGCCAGCACCCCCAACACTAACACCACCAACACCAACAGTAACAATCCAAAGCAAAGTAAGTGGCTTTAATGATTTGTACAATTGACATTCAATATATATTCAATATACTTGATTTTTGCAGATTTTGCCAGCTTTACCAAAAAAGATGCTGCCGGCTCTTCGGCCTCGTCAAGCTCCTCGACAGCCTCCATCATATCGATCGAGCCCAGCGCCGATCAGCCGCATCAAAACAACAACAACAGCAGCAGCGAGCAACAGCAGCTGCTGGGCAAAACAGTTTCGATTGATGAACTGGAATATGTGCTACTGCCAGCAACAACAACGGCTGAGCTAAACCCAGCCACACACGAGACGACACAGGTCACAAATAACATCAATAGCAGCAGTACAATCAGCAGCAGCAGCAACAACAACAATAGCAGCAGCAACAACAACATTGTTGTGAGCAACACAACAACAACCAGCATTGTGAAGTCAGCAACACACCCTGGCAGCTATAGCTTGTTCAGCTCTGCAGGAGCAACGACAGCGACAGCAACAGCAACCACAACTCTCCTGAATCGCGTCAATTTAAATGCAAAATTCAAGGGTCAACACCTAATGGTGAATGCCAAGAAATTGGCCGAAGTCACACAGACAACGGCCAAGGTGTCCATTGGCAATAAGACGATATCTGTACCGCTGCTAAAGCCACAAATCCTGCAAAGTGGCCAGCTAATGAGCGTTAGTGGGGCAACCACAGCTGGTGGTGCGACAATAGTCGAAAGCAAACAGCAATTGACAACAACAGCAACATCAGCAACGCTGACAACAGCACTACAACAGCAGCAGCATCAACAGCAACAACAGCAGCAGCAGCACCTGAACCTCACCAAGCTGTTAAAAGGCACTCGCAAGAATCCAACAACAATTTTATCAATTGCCAATGTGCAAATTAAACCTGCAAATGCAAAAATTGTCACCGCCAAAGTGGTTAGCAAAAAGATGTCGCTGCAGTTCCAGCAGCAACAGCTACAGCTACAACAGCAGCAACAGCAGCAACAACAACAACAGCAGCAGCATCATCAACAGCAGCAGCAGCAACCCAGCACCGGCAGCATTGTTACAATAACACCAACTAATTCAAGCCAGACATTTACAATGCTAGAAAAACAACTTGATGGTGGCGAACAAAGTGAACAACAGCAGCAGCAGCAGCAGCATCCGAAAACGATTACCTACAGCGAGAACATACAAAAGATATTGTTAAACAAAAGCAAATCGCTGGATGGCAGCGATGCCAGCAGCGAGTTTGGCAAGATAAACAGCGTTGTTATCAAGCCACTCGACAAAAATCAGCTGCACTGTGCATCCAACATCAATATATTCAAGCAGCAGCAGCAGCAACAGGCAACCGGAACTGCTGCAAATGACGACAACAAGGCAACAACAGCTGGTGGCGCCCAAATATTCACGCGACCCATTATATCGCTACAAAAGAACATCTCGCTGGTGGTGTCCAAGGCACCGATGGGTCAACAGAAAGCCAAATTGCTGACAACGCCAGCCACGCTACAGCAATTCAATGCGCTGGAAACTGAGACGGTGACCAAGCTGCAGTTGAAACCACAGACGGTCAAGCTCAGCTCAGCTGATAAGTCCGATGCCAGTGAATCCGACACCAAGCCAAAGTTGCTGCTGGTGAAGCAAACAACACAGTTGCCACCACCACCGCCGCCGCCCGAGAGCAGCAGCAAGGATGTGAATGCTGAGCAGCCGGACCACGAGTTGCTGAGCTCGAAGGCGCAAGAGAAACGCTTGGTGACGCCCAGTCGTGTGGATGACTCCAACAATGCGCTGCTCAAGCAATTGCTGCAAAACAGCATCAGCAGCAACGCCAACAGCAACAACAGTCACAATCTGCAACAGATTTCAATTACGTCGGCGCCGCTGTCCGCCCGCAAAGTGATCAATGTGCGTGCGCCGAGCATGGGATTGGTTAGCTCGCTGGAGGCCCAGCTGGCTAGGCCAGTTATACCACCAGTACCGACGGCTGTGAGTAGCAGCAACAACAGCAGCACCAGCAGCGGCGGCAGTGGCAGCGGCAGCTGTAATACCATTACAACAACAACAGCCACCATGGTGGCAATTAGTCAAGCGCCGTCCAGCAGCTCAAACACACCAACGCCAACAAATGAGCCACAAAAGCTGTTGGAATTGCAACCAGAGACGAAGGCAGCGATAGTGACAACAACGATTGCCACAACAACAGCGGCAGCGACTACAACTGCAGCTGTAATGGCTGCAACGGTTGCTGTTGCACCGCCAACAACCGTAGCAGCAGCAGCAGCAGCAACTGTTGCCGTTGCTGCTGCTCCCGCACCAGCAGCAGCAGCACCACAGCTGAAGCAGTCGGTGCAAATTGTGTCCAAGGAGACATCGTTCATATCAACACCAGTGACGGCTGCCCAGTCCACCGTCGTCCTGCCCACCGTTGTCAATAAGCTGCCGCCCACATTGCTAGTCGAGTCAAGCCTGAAAACGGAGCAGCAGCAACAGCTGCCGCCGCCGCCACCCTACGAGCTGAGCACCGGCAATGTATCAAACGTGACCATTTCCATAACGACCAAGCCCAGCAAGGAGCTCAGCAAGTTGGCCAAACTGGAGCCGCTTGATGACGAGCCGGAAAAGTCAGCGCCAACGATGACGACGCCGTCAGCGGCGACGCATGGCGACAACTGGAAAATGCAGGACGGGCACACAAGTGGTAGTCTCATGATTTGCGAAACGCTGAAGCGCAAGCTGCCAATGCAACAGCAACAACAACAACAACAGCAGCAACAGCAACATATCGAGGAGAAGCCTGCGTTGGAGCTGAAAACGGAAATTTTGGTCAATAGCAATAATAAGGAGCATGAGTTGATCAAAACACGCATCGCAGCGCCCCCAACAATTTACGAAAAGTTGCAGCTACAGCAGCAGCAACAACAACACTTGCAACAGCAGCAACACCAACACTTGCAGCAGCACCAGCAACAACAACACTTACAGCAACAACAACAACAGCAGCAACAACAACAGCAGCAACAGCAACAACAGCAGCAGCAGCAACAACAACAGCAGCAGCAGCCACAACAACACCAGATGCAAATGCAATTGCAGCAACAACAGCTACAGCAGCAGCAAATACAGCAGCTACAGCATCAACAACAGCATCAACAACAGCACCAACAACAGCATCAGCAACAACACCAACAACAGCACCAACAACAACAACAGCAACAGCAGCAACAACAACAACAACAACAGCAGCAGCAACAACAACAGCAACAACATATACAACAGCAGCTACAACAACAACTGCATCATCAGCAGCAGCAGCAACAACAATCAATGCCAGCAACAGCGCAGGCAACATTGCCCGAGCCGAAAGCTGTGGAGCAACGGAAGCGACGCAAGCGAGAGACACAAAAGCCGCGACGCAGCAATGCGAACAGTGCTGCTGGTGCTGCGGCTGCTGCTGCTGCTGCTTCCGCCGCTGCGGCTGCTGCGGCAAATAGCTTGAAGGATATGCCTGGCACATTGCCCGCTGGCGCCGTAGTCCAATTGGCCAACGTGACTACCAATTCGCAGCTGGGCGGCCAGATGGTAGCTGGCGGACACTTGGGTGCCGGTGGCAGCGGTGCGGGAAGCATGGGATCGCCCATGCTGAAGAAGCGGGTGCGCAAGTTCTCCAAAGTGGAGGAGGATCACGATGCATTTACCGACAAGCTGATGACGCACATACGACAAATGCAGCCACTACAAGTGCTGGAGCCGCTGCTCAATCGCAATTTTCTGATTGGTGGCGGTGCCGGTTTTGGCAACGGTGCCGGCGGTGGCAAATTGAAGGCAATATCGCGTGCACTGCAGCTACAGCGACAGCTCGACGACAACAATGCCGATGGCAGTGGCAGCGGCGGCGGCAGCGGCAGCGGCGGCGACATCGACTGTGATCAGCTTCTGGGCCGCTTTGGCAATGTGCGTCATCCCAGCATTAAATCGCTGTACGACAGCGAACGCTTTGGCGGCAGCAGTGAACCAAGCAGCTGCAACAGCACCTCAGCCAATGCGAGTGGCAGCAGCAGCAGCAGCAGCAGTTCGAGTGGCGCCGCCATGTCAACCATACAGAACGACTTTTACGATCAGGAATTCTCATCACACATCCAACGCAATCCGCGCGAGCGTCTGCTCCGCTTGATAAGCGCTGTTCGCGATTGCAATCTAGAGACCACCGAGCTGGTGGAGCAATTGCAGCAGCAGCAGCACCACCAGCAGCAGTCGTCAAATATGCGCTTGGATGGTGCCGTTGCGTGGGCGCGTCATAGCCGTTATCCGGGTCTGGTGCTGCTCAATACGAATATCAATCAACGCTGTGCGCCCGGACGCATGTCACCCATTGCCCTGTCCATGGAGGCGAGCACAATGCGACCACCTGTCTCTCAACTGATGCGCAGCTGTGCCGAGGAGTTGCGCAAGGTGCAGCAGCTTGACCTGGGTCTAACAGTAACAGCGCCAGCAGCAACAGCAGCAGCGACCAACACGGCAACTATTGCAATAGGCAGCAGCAGCACCAGCACCGGTATCGTGAGCAGCAACAACAGCAGCAATAACAACAACAATAATAATAATAATAACAACAACAACAACTATCAGCAGAAGAACCAAAATGTGATACTCTCGCTGCATCCATCGGCAACCGATAATATTGCCGGCGTGCTGCGAGATTTGGCGAATCTGTTGCATTTGACGCCCGCTTTAACCTGCAAGTTAATTGAAGCGAACAACACAGCGGCGGACAAGACGGACAAGCAGCCAGGCGAAACGGAAACGGAGTCCGATTCGGAGCTGGGCGATGAGTCCGGTCAGGGACAGGGACATCGGCGTGGACGGGGAGCAGCGGCGGCAGCGGCAGCAACTCCAACTAGTCAGGGCAATCTGCGGAAAATACTCACCGGTCAGCGGAAGTTGTGCCGTTGCTGTGGCAGCGCCATTGCCGCCTTTGGTCTGCGTGTGCCGCACCAGAATGTGCCCGAGGAGCAGCCATCGCCAATGCTTGCCCGCCTGCGTGCTCTACTGCCGCGCCAATCCCCGCCATCGGCCTTTGTCTATTTTTGCAATCGCAGCTGCTTCACGCAGTACAAATATCGCGGCAACGACGAACCAATCGATGACGAATCGCTGACAATCGACAGGGACATGACGGCAACATCATCAACTGCAACTGCAACTGCAACTTCAACTGCAACCGCGACCGCATCCCAGCACGTCATTCCCATTGATAAAGCGGAAGAAGACGTTGATATGGAGCAGCAGCAGCCACCACAACACTTGCAGCAGCAGCAGCAGCAGCAACAGCCTTCACAGGATTTGACAGCGACAGCAACAGCAACGCTGCCAGTGAAGCGCAAGTGCATCATCAAGTGTTACAGCGCCGATTGCTTTGCGACGAGCACTGATCGCAGCGCCCATCGGCCCGAAACGGATGCGGCGACATCAAATAATACGGTGTGGGAAAGAGACGCTCTGGGTGCACACGAGGATACGCGCCAGTGCGTCTTCTGCAATCAGCGTGGCGATGGCCAGGCCGATGGTCCCTCACGTCTCCTCAACTTTGATGTCGACAAATGGGTAAGTGACTCAAGCACAATTTATAATTGTGGCAACTGTTCGACTGAATTGTTTATTTGCACTTTGATAACTTTGTTAACGATTCACCAAACCAGGTCCATCTGAATTGTGCGTTATGGTCGAACGATGTCTTCGAGACGGTTTCGGGTGCACTGATGAACTTCCCGACGGCTCTGCAGGCTGGACTGAATCAGGCGTGCGTTGCCTGCCACCAATTGGGCGCGACAATCAAGTGCTTTAAGTCGCGCTGCAACAGTCTCTATCATCTGCCCTGCGCCATTAAAGAGGAGTGCGTCTTCTACAAGGACAAATCGGTGCATTGCAGCACGCATGCGTCGAGCAGCTTGGCAAGTGCAGCGGATAACGAGCTCAGCTCGTTCGTTGTGCATCGTCGGGTGTTTGTCGACCGGGACCGGGACGAGAATCGACAGGTGGCCACCGTCATGCACTATTCGGAGCTGACCAATCTGCTGCGCGTCGGCAACATGACGTTTCTCAATGTGGGCCAACTGTTGCCACATCAACTGGAGGCGTTCCATACGTCCCATTACATTTACCCCATTGGCTACAAGGTGGTAAGTAGCAAATTGGATAAATTGGATAAAGAACACCCAACTTCCTCCAGCAACTAACAACTGCATTATTATTTAGAGCCGCTATTATTGGTGCACTCGACGGCCGAATCGACGATGTCGCTATGTGTGCAGCATTGCCGAGGTTGGCTGTCGGCCGGAGTTCCGCATTCAGGTGCACGAGGGCCACGACAAGGAGCCGGATCGCGAGTACCGCGACAGCACACCATCGGGAGTCTGGCAGCAGATACTGCAGCCGATCCAGCGTCTGCGACAGGTGCATAAGTTGCTGCAGCTCTTTCCGCAACACATTAGCGGCGAGGATCTGTTCGGGTTGACGGAGCCGGCGATTGTGCGCATTCTGGAAAGTTTGCCTGGCATCGAGACACTGACCGACTATCGATTTAAATATGGACGCAATCCGCTGCTGGAATTCCCGCTGGCCATCAATCCATCGGGTGCTGCGCGCACGGAGCCCAAGCAACGACAGCTGCTCGTCTGGCGCAAGCCACACACCCAACGCACCGCCGGCAGTTGCACCACACAACGCATGGCAAATTCTGCGGCAATTGCCGGCGAAGTTGCCTGCCCGTATAGCAAACAGTTTGTCCACTCCAAGAGTTCGCAGTACAAAAAGATGAAGCAGGAGTGGCGCAACAACGTCTACCTGGCGCGGTAAGCGAAGCTACTCTATCTACTCTATCAGTATATAGATATATAACATATTCCTCTCGATCAGATCCAAAATTCAGGGGCTGGGCTTGTATGCGGCCCGCGACATTGAGAAGCATACGATGATAATTGAGTATATTGGCGAGGTAATCCGCACGGAGGTGTCCGAGATACGTGAAAAGCAATACGAATCCAAGGTGAGCGAATATCAACCAATCCATCAGCAATGCATCTATGCACGTATAACCTAATTGTCTTTTCCAACTGCAGAATCGTGGTATTTATATGTTCCGCCTGGATGAGGATCGCGTTGTCGATGCAACTCTAAGCGGCGGCCTGGCTCGCTACATTAATCACTCCTGCAATCCGAACTGTGTCACTGAGATCGTTGAGGTTGATCGCGATGTGCGCATAATCATATTTGCCAAGCGTAAGATCTATCGTGGCGAAGAGGTATCTATCATATCAATTGAATTTGTCCATTGTATTATGCGAATGCTAACGTTTATTTTGTTAGCTGTCATATGACTACAAGTTCGATATCGAGGATGAATCCCATAAGATCCCCTGTGCCTGTGGGGCGCCGAATTGTCGAAAATGGATGAACTAGGATCCGGTTACTCCAGCAGCACGATCACCCGCATTAGAACTAGCACTTGTACCAATACGGCCACGAGTACCGAAACCAAAACCGATCAAACCCCCAATACCAGCAGAGTTCAGGTGTACGCGGAATCGCCGCCCCCCAGTGAACACAAAATAATAATAATAATAATTATAATAATAATGTTGTTATCAACACATTGTAAACCACATCATCAAAATAGTATATTTAGTAAGCAGTATATATATATATATATATATGTACATATATTTATTATTTTTTTAAATATATATATATATATTTATATACATATCTATGCATACGTTCTATGTAAATGCGTATCTATGTATGTTTATGTATATATATATATATATATATATTGGAAAGTTTATAAATTGTAAGAATGCGCCCCCGTGCATATTGTAGCTAATTTGTATCCTATTGCTCATAAGCCAAACGTGTTTTTTAGTATAAATTTGAAGAAAAACAAAAGAAAAGAAAAACAGATAAACAGAAAAACAGCAAGAACAACAAAATGGAAAACTTCACGCATAAATTATCTATAGATAAAAGTTTTAAGTATGTATTTTATGTTACTTACCTTATGAGTCGTATGTATTACGATCCTATATATATATATATATATATATGTACATTTTTCTACCCAAAGCCTTGGCGCTGCTCTTCAGGAGCAGCTCAGATGTGGGTGTGCCTTCTGTTTATTATTTTTGAATATAGTTTTTTTTTTATCTATTACGAGACTGTATAGGAAGAATATATATATAAAAAAAAGAAACAATCTCTTCCCAAGTGGCGTAGTAATTTATTTGATGTACATCCAAATTGAATGTATTTTTACTTAATTTCTTTTCGATTTTTTTAACATACATACAAATAAATAATCAAATGTATCTCTAAATTTTAAGTAAATGTCAACACATTACACCATAAAACAATATGTTTTATACATATGATTTTTCGTTTATTTATAATATATATACTTTGCTTTTTTTTGTAAATCAATTTAACTTATCCATAAATTCCAACGATTTTCAACATAATGTACATACACCAAATTGTCATATATATATATACAAATATGTGTATATGTTTATAGTTAACAACTGATGTACTTCTATCTATATAACGGCCTGGACCTATATGTAAGTGGATTTATAGGTAGTCATCGCGTCTCCTTTTTTCGTCGGCGATTTAGTAATTTTTGCACCTGCACTGCAAATGCTAAGGTTAGCATATCAAAGTTTTTCAAATACCATGAGATGTTGTACATCAAATGTATGCGTCGATTTTTATCCAAAAATGTTTTATAAAAAACACTCATTTGATCGGCGCTTATTTCGTCATTCCCATTTAATTTGTGTAGACGTACGAAATCGTCTTTCTCCTGCAAATCGAACAAAACAAACCAAATTTCTTTTTTAGATTTCACAGAAACACAAAACAAACGGAGAAAGTACCATTGAGAGGGAGAGAGAGATAATGAGCAAGATAGCAAGGGGAATAGAGACGCTGAGCCCACCAAGTGCTAAAACTACATTTCGTGGGTTAAATGGTCACCGGTGGACAACGAAATTAACAAATACAACACAAACCTCATAGAAGCGTTTGTTGTGCTTTGTCCAGAACTCCATATTCCACTTTTCAACCTCAATTCGCAATAGACGTAATTTCTTGGCCATTTCTGTTTCATTTTCATCGTAGTGCCATATATAAGGCCGTAGATTAGATTTCGGATCCGGTGGGCCAATATAATCGCTGTTCACCGACTGTGGATTTGGCGGTTGTGTAAGACCAACGTACACCGGAGGATTCTTCTTTGGCCGTGGCTGTGTTTGCGTTGTCGGCTCTGTTGCATAGCGCCGTGACGATGCCTAAATTACGATACTAAACGTTAAAGGAGCACACAAGTATTTCGGTTCAAATTACTCACGTTAAATATACTTGCAAATATCCGTGGTGTTGAACTTTTATTCATATCTAGTTGTTATTTTCTATCTTGTACGTAATTATGTAGGTAACTTGTGCTGCGACTCGCGACTAGTTATCGGAAATATTATAATTACGTTACGATAGTTATCGGAAATATGATTACGTTACGATAGCTCGATTGTTGTTTGGGTTGCGCCTGACGTCGTGAGTAGGAAGAAGAAGCACACTTTGTTTGCCGCCAAACATGAGTTCGGCTCTCGCTTAAGTAATTCAAAAATGTAATCCCAATTTCAATTACACTCTACTCCTCCTCCAATTGCTAAACTTACTCCATGCATTGCACTTAACATGTGGATTTGTAAATACGACTAACAATAAGCTATTTATATTAAGCCACGCAGGGCTCCAAATTCAAGCATGTAAATAATTTATAATCAATTAAAAGTTCTTTGCTGCCGCTGCCAACAATACCCATAACGAACTTAACTTACAATATAAACAGCTATAACTATATCCAAGATGCACATATTAAGAAACTATTTTCTGCATGCCCCTTAAAGTGTGCTGCAATTTATACATTGGGCTGCCGATTGGAATGAAGCACAAAGGATTTCACTCGTTCAAATAAGTGGAATAGCAGGAGTTTTCTTACAATAGAATATGGCTCAATTACTTACCACCTTAGGGGCTTTTAGCTTTCAATAATTCCTTCCAGTAAATAAATAATATAATTGTTGGGTTTTTTCTTTCGTTTTGTTGTTGTTTACTTTATTATTTTAGTTTCATAATGCGTATGATAATTACTTTAAGTTTTGTCAATTTTCTTCATTGCACTAAAAAAAACCTGTTCGACATATAATTTGCTAGCTCTTTCAAAGCCATGCATTTGTTGCCGCCCCGCTCCAATACGAAACAGGTAAAACAATACACACACATAAAAAAAGATGAAAGAAAACATAAACAAAAGTGGCTTAAAATGTTTGCTTACAATTAGAAAAAAAAGTTGCCGCATTTGCTTACATCTTTGTCCCTTTTTCTTGATCAGGCAACTCTTTATGCAAAAATAGATTTATATATATATAAATATATCATTTTATATGTATATATAAATATATATAGCTTTACGTATATATATATATATATATATATATATATGTATATGTATGTAGTATTTATGGATAGACGCATGTATATTGTATATAAATATATATTACAAAGTATTTAGTTTCTCTTGTTACATATTACAAATTTCGTGCACGTTCAACTCTTTGCCGAGCAGATAAACAGATAAGAACTAAAGCAGAAAGGGCCAAACCTTTATTTATAAAATAAGGTTCAAGTTTAAAAAAAAATTAAACAATTAATTTTTGTAAACAAAATTAATAATGAACACAAGCAACTCAAAATGTGTTGTGTGTGAGTTTTTTTTGCTGTTTGTTTTTTTTTTACTGTTTACGCTTAATTACAATAGCAAAAAAATAATACAATAATAATAATAAAAAAAAAATTCTAAAAGAACGTTGCAAGAACAATTTGCTGTTGTTTCATGTTGTGTTGTTTTTGTTGTTGTTGTTATTTCGCCACTTGTTAAAAAGTTAATTTTAGTTAATTAGCAAATACATATGCACTTATGTATGTATATATGTATGTATGTATGTATGTATGTTTGTATGTATGTAGGTATGCATGTATGTAGTACGTATTGTTTACATATTTGTTGTTATTGTTGTGGGTTGGTTGGTTTTACTTTGTTACTCTCCTTTTTGATTAAGTATAATTGAGTAGTTGTAGTTGTTGTTGTCGTTGTTGTTTGTTGATTCAATTGCTGTTGTTGCTGTTGTTGTGGTTGTTCTGATCAACGCTGTCCATGTTGGGTACATAGTCCAGCGCCATCATGCAGGCAAACACGGTCATCACCATCTTTGGCTTGACCTCGGTGATGTCCTCGGGCAAGGCGTAAACACGAGCGCCAATCTTACGCGCCATTGAGATGGCATACTTGGCATTGGCCAGGTTATCCTAAATAATAATGAAATGCATTCAATTAAAATTCATTCATTTATAGCAACGGAGAAGGAGCTGAGGGGGGACACGTACCTCTTGAGTGCCGCTGGTGCGCACCAGTTCGTAGTTAATGCTACCCTCCTTGATGGCATCGATCAGATCAATAACGATCTTGCCATCGGCAATCGCCGGATCGTTGAAGTTTTTCAGCTTCGACTCCTTGCCGGCGTCGCTCAACCGGGTGTTCACCCACTGGACAATCTCCTTCTCGATGATCGGATTGCCCGAGTTGGCCAGCCGGGACAATATGGACAATGTGTAGGCGCGCATCAGTTGCCAGATCAGAGCTATCGATTAAGCAAAGCCAAAAACAAACAAATTGTAGTGCATATATACGATTTACTATTTATACATATATATATACTATATATTGGTGCATACCCAATGTGAGCGTGGCATTGCCATCGTTCAGATCCTGTCCAGCAATGCCGACGAGCGAGAATTTCAATTGCTTGCCGAGATCAACGGCATAATTGCAGTTCTCCAGCTTCTCCATGAATTTGCGCAGTGGCGTGAAACGCTTGTGGACGCGACTCCAATTGACAATGCCCGGCTTGATGACATCGAACAGTTGGAAGATGACCAAGCCGTCGGCCAAATCCGAGTACAGCCAGTTAACATGCGGCGCCACGCCCATCGAATTCATCCAGTTGCGGTAAGCTGGAAAATAATATATGAAATCAGTTCAAATCAATCCAATCAAATCAATTGGGGTAGTCAACAACATACTCTTCTCTTCGCGCGTCTCCTCGATGGACTCGAGTCCCTCGATCTGTTCGGGCTTGTCCAGGCCGGGATGATTGTTGAACAGATTGGCGACAAAGGCCAAATTCAGCTTGTAGACGCCATTAACGACATCCTGTGGCGTGAGGAAGCTGCGACAATTCAATTTGGCCGCCTGCTGCAGCATTATCTCGGCACGTGACTGCAGATCGGATTCGCGGAGTGCATCCAGATTGACATCGGCCTCATTGCCGGCAATTTGTTTCAGCAGATGCGTATAGATCTCGGAGTCGACAATGTCCGATTGGAAATTGGTGCAGCGTCTCGAGATACCGGCACGCTCCAGATGATGATTCACCCATCGGAGCAATATGGCCTCCGGTGACATTTTCATCAGATCCTCCAAACGCTCATTGTCGAACAGCAGGCCGGCCAAGCCGGGACAGCTGTCCAGCGTAATGTGACTGAACAGGCCAATGCGAATGATCTGCCAGAGCAGGCCGAGCACCAAATGCGGCTTACCCTTGGCCAAATCGTGGGCATCAATGTTGACAATGTTGCAGCCAATGGCCTGCGACGAGACGAGCGCCAGCGTCAGATTCTCGAATTCACGATAGACGGTCAGGCTCTTCTTGTTGATGGCGCGCTCATCGATTGTGTCGGGGCAGGAGTGATTGATGATCTTGCACAGCAAGATGCCGTCCTTGATCGATTGATATAGACGCTTGCCCTCGGCATCGATGGGCAGCAGATGCTGCAGATCCTTGTCATGTCCCAGATTCGAGTTAATCCAATCGGAGAAGGCCAGCTGCTCCTCGAGCCGCACCGAATGCGTGGTGCCCTCGGACGATATGCTGGACATGCCGCCTAACGTCTCCAAGTTCTCCTTCTTGGAGACGACCGTCTTGAATGTGCTGGCCACATCCTTTGACTTCAAATCCAGGCACAGCGTCTCAAACTCATCCAAATTCAATTTGCCCTGATGCGCCGTTCGCTGTTTGCTCTTGAACTCATCGATCATCTCGCGCACCTGATAACCGGCCAGCTTGAAGCCGACCTGATTGAGTGCATCTTTCAGCTCGTGCAGATCAATGAAGCCATCCTTATTGGCGTCCAGCTGCAAGACAAAAAACAAAAAACAAAGAGAAAAATTTAAAAATTTTGACTGCATGAGTTATGTGTCTAATTTGATTGGCTGACTAATTATCTTACTCATTCATTGCTATTTCAATTAGGCAAATTTCTGTTTTTATTTGTTTACTTTGCTGACTCATCGAGCGGATTCACCTTCGAATAGATCGAATAGATGAATCGCTAAACACAATGCAGACCAGGCCATCATTTGCTTTGCCATGTGGTTTTCTTTGAAGGCTTAACACGTCACCTGCACATGCTAAAGAGTTCCACTTCCCCACTACTATCAATATATATCTATATCTATATGTATATCTATCTACAGTTTTCGACTTCATCAAGTTGCTGCACATCATTTCATAGTCATTGGTAATTGATTATTGGCAGTCAGTTGAACTGACGTATGTGTAAAGTTTGTATCTAGCTTTAGTTAAGACAATCGTTATCGCTATCTCTATCGATATCGAAATCGAAATGCCTCAATCATGCGATCATCGGCTATGAAATAAAATGTGTTATTTTGGAATTACAACTCATTATCATTATCATCTTGAGAAATACAACAGTCAGTTGCACGATTTACAAAAAGAACTATTAACTACTTTGAAATTATCGGAAATATTTCTATCTCAAAAGAATCTGGCGATTAGCGTTACAAAAACCCAAAAAAAATCCTAAGCAATTTACAAACAGAACATAAAGTTTTTATGTGCGAACCGAGATTACGAGCGAGTTAAACATTCAGCGTTAAGAGCTATATATATTTACTACAGTTAATTAAGTTAAGTTCTAGATTTGCACAATTGCGGGAAGTATTTGCATATATGCATATAACGTTCAGTTGAGCGCTGAGTTCTGAGTGCTGAGTGGAGGACTATTAGAAACTTTCGCAATTCCCCATGGAGAAGCGCAAACATTTCACTTGGGGGCGGTGGGTGGGGGATTCGCAAATGTTTGTGACTATGGTGTGAAATTCCCATCATGGCCATATAGTACAGTATAGAATGCTATAAAGTTTGTATGCCTTGCCATATATGGGTGATTGTGTGGAATTTGTGTCGGTCGGCTCGATGATGATGATGATGATGTTACTTCGACTATTTCGTTTGCCGTTCGCCGTTGCGTTTCCCGATAAGATAAAGTCTTGTGGCAGAATGGCAACAAAATCGAAAATAGCACCTGATTACGTATATGGTAATCATTCTACATATATATATACATGATGTATATATATATATATATATATATAGATGAGAAAGGAGCAGCGTAAGAGGGTAAGTGACGATGACGATTGTGGTTGGTTGGTTGGTTGGCTTTGTCCTAGGCAATAGGCCACTTACTTTTGAGATAAGCCACGCACAGGCTAAATGGCCCAGTGCTCTGACTGACAACTAACGGAAGTTCGTTCTTGTCCACTGGTCAGCTGAGTGCGATTTCAAAAGGTGGGTAAACTTTATCAAAGGTGTTCACTGTAACTGCCTATAAAACGAAGGCAAAGCAAAAAAAAAACCCCTGTTGAGAATCATTTTTTTTTGTGCGCTTGTCTGTGTTATCGATTTAAAAAAAAAAAAAAAACCATAAAGTATGCCGACACCAAGAACAAGTACAGGAAAAAGAGCAAACACTTTTTTGATTACGTGAGCGTAAACGTGAGTAATAAAATTGGTTGGTGCGGAAAAATATGAAAATTGAATTCAAATTGAAATGATTCGTTTTTGCACCTATTTAAACTTGATTTACGTACATCGGGCAGAAGTTCCTCCAGATTCTGCTTGAACTCCTCAATGGTTCGATGCTGGTCAACGTTCAGAATATCAGACATTTTTGATATTTATTTCGATTCTTTTTGTTTCTGTTTTTTACTTATATATATATTTTTTTTTTGGGGCACTTTTAGATGTTTTTTTTTTGTGTGTTGCTTCTTGCTAGCCACTTAATTGCTGAGCAAAATAAACAAAAACAAAACCAAAAATTATGCGTAAATTAAGTAAATTGATTTAAGACGAAACACACACGCAAAGGAAAAAACACAATAATAACAAAATTAAAAAAATAAAGAAGAGCAGCACATAACCCGAGGAGGGAGCTGGGGCCGACTTGGTGGGGGCGGACACGCGATCGATTTGTGTATGGCACGAGTGCTGAACAACGACAGGCGGTTCGTTCAATAAGAAGCAGGCGCGTTCACAAATTTACCGTTACGTAGCAGAACACCGAGAGCCAGAGAGCCCGATAGGAAGACAGCAAGAGCAAGAGCTAGAGCAAGAGCAAGTGAGAGTAAACGTTAAACGCGAGAGCCGAACGAGGCGCGAGAGAGCAAGCACTGAGAGCGAGATCAAGAATAGATAGAGAGAGAGAGAGCGAGAGAGAGCGAGAGAGTGCAAAGGATGTGAATAGACTGCGTGTGCGAATATAGGATAGACTAATAATATAATAAAATACTCCACGTTTAGGTGTTAGCGCAACTGGACGAGCTGTACTACTAATTGAGCGCCTGACGCCGTGCGCACTATTTATGCCTTTTCTTTTATCAGAGCAATGAAGAAAACCCATTCGCGCGAGACTAGCACTAAAATCGAAACCGATAACACACGGCGAGCGAGCGAGCGAAAGAGCGACAGAGAGAGAGAGAGAGAGATAGAGTGTCTGATTGGTGCAGAACTTAAAAAAAAAAAACAAACCAAACCATATTTTAAAGAGCGACTGTTTTCTTCGTTTTTCTTTTTGTATTATTAATGTAATAGTTAGTTAGTCAGCAGTGAACAGCAGACCCTTTAATTATTGGCTAGTTGGTCATTAATTTGTTGTTGTATTTGCATCCATTTGCCATTTGGCATTTGCAATTTTCGATTCAATTCGAATTCCAGTTGGAAGTCATATGAGCCAATAATTAGGATTTATATGGCATACGGCACGTGTGTGTTTGTGTTCATATATATATAGGTATTTTGGTCATTCGCACCGATAAGACACGCTACTGAAACGGCCAGTCAACCAATCAGCCAACAAGACAACAACCAACAGCAACAGCAGCAGCAACAACAAGCGACCAACACCCTGCACCACATCACACTCGCACCGTCAGTCAGTCAGCCAGGCAGTCAGTCAAAATCAACGCGATATCGATTAAGAATATCAGATTACGTTCGATTATCGAGCGATGTTGGAACAGGGTTGTCATACCTTCAAAATCAGGTGAGTGCATTGCATCCATCAATCTCTGATGACATCTCTGACTCAGCAGCCCAGCAGTTCATTCATTACTAGCTATCTCAATGTTAACTGATCTCAAGCAAACGCATCATCAGCCATTTTGGGCTGACTTTCAATATGTTTATATTAATCATTCGAAAATTCGAAGATTTTTATATCAATTGTTATGCAAATTCTTGGATTTCTTTCTCTTTTTCGGCATTGGTTAATTTACATTTTTTTCTTTTTGGTAAAAGCAAAGAACACATATTTTTGGTGAATGTGACAACCCATTGTCAAGTGCCAAAAACCTTTAACAAAATGCTTACACACCGCAATTTGTTGTTGTTGCTCAATTTCATAGCTACTTACGTAAGTGGATGTATTGCATTAATGTAGTTAAAGGTTTATAATTTATGGCACTATCCGCCCAGTTATGGTCAGAGAGAACCCACAGAGAAGCACAGAGACAGGGAGAGAGGCAAAGAGAGAGAGAGAGAGAGAGGGAGGGAAATACATGACATTTAAACGTAATTGGTTTTTTAATAGCCATTGTATCAGGTAGGGAATTATGTGACAATTGCTTTTTGCCAACTGATGTCTTGTTAAACATAAAATTAATACCATTTTGTCAATGATAAGAAAATGTCTCGATAAGACCGTCCACAAACAAGACAGTTAGTTATTTATTAAACTCTATAGGAATAAATAGTGCATTTTGGTTTTTGGTTTCTTCACAAAATTATATATTTTTAAGCACTCCAGTTGAGCCCAAGTTGAGCAGCGATGACTAATCCCCCCACAGCCACTAAGCAAGTGTAATCAACCTATATTCGTTACATAATGTTTTTATTTAACAGTTGTTTGAATAGCGTCGTTTTTTGATAATGAGTTTGCTTGCTGCATGTGTTGTTACTCATTGCCCATTGTCCGTTGCCCGTGGTCGGTTGAAGCGAATTGAATGCAGCAGTCACGTTGTGGTTTTGGTTATGGCAATCGTTAAGATTCATTCATTTCAGCTGAAAGCCGGGTTGGCGCTTTTAAATGGATCGCTAACAGTTGTTGCTTTTAAATAGCAATCAGCTTTCGGCTTATTTGATGCATGCACCACCTGTGCTTAATGTCAACTATCGTTAACTTACTTTTGCCTCACTCACTTGGCGGCAACTAGTTGCACATTTGCACAGTTGATTAGGGAAATTGTCGGCGCGAAGACAGGTAAAACGTGAAATTCTTAAATGCTTCTAGTATTTACGAGGACGCACGTTGTACGTAAGTAAATTGCTAAATCATAAATAAAATAAAATCACAAGTGCGCAAAGCAATCTAGCAATATACAAATCATCATTGAAACAGTTCATTTCTATCGTTTAATTGATATCATTCATTTGACAGATAAGTTGATCAGTTGCTGAACAGCATCGATGACAAGTTTCCCAACCACACTCATAATACGCATACTTCGCATACAGCTAACTTTTTAAGCACACATCTAAATACTTTGAGTGTTAACAAGTTCAAGTTCGTTTCTTGGCCTTTTCAGCGTCCGCATTCGTCGCTTAGAATAGTTTCGAGAGTTTGGCCAAAATACAAAAAAAAAATAGATATATAAAAATAAAACAACGAAAATAACTGAAAGAGGTAAGCCAGGTAAAAGGGTCAAAAACAAACGGCAAAACGTACGCAAACCGTAATTATGATTATGATTATTGTGATTATGATTATGATTATGAGGAGCAGCGCGCGAAAGTTCTGTTAATGAATTTTGTTATTGTCATTTGAAGTCAATTTACAGCAAATGAAGTTCATTAGCATGCCACAAAGATACTAAACGGCGTTTAGTTGTTTCTGTTTCTGTTTTTGTTTGTATTTGTCTTTGTTTATTTGTTGCCTTGTTGGTTTGTTGCCTTGTCCCTTGCTTTGTTTGGTGCCAATTCTTTCTGTGGTGCCCATTCGAGTCGCGACCTGTCGTGTAATGGCTCGTGACACGACCACTTCACTTCTGCCCTCTGACGTAAGCAACCCCAGCTCCCCCCACCCCCGTTGTGTCACCCAAAGGCGTGAAAACGTAACACGAAAACAGAAAATACAAACACAACAACAAAAACATGTAAGAGTGCTGTAGTCGAGTCAGCTCGACTACGATATACCCTGAACCCACCCAGCTGTTAAATATATTCCAGTTTTCCCTTTCAAAAGTTTTGCACCCAAATGTGAGCAGGTCTGCGGTCTGCAAGTGCACTCTTTTAAGGCTCAATAAGATAAATATGCATATTAAGTATTAATTAGAAGGTTCTGCCTTTAAAATTGCAGCATTTTTTGCTTTCGAAAATCGAAATAAGGCAGTTATCGATGAAATAAAGCACACTTGATCTGCGCCGGGTATATGAGAACCTATATTCTCTAGCTCTCATAGTCTCTGAGATCAGATCGACAAGGCCGTTGATCCTGACCAAATATATATATATGCTTTATAGGATCGGAGATGCTTCCTTCTGCTTATTACATACATTTGCACAAAACCATTACATTCATTTTTAATGTGTCCAGGGTATGACAAGTAAAAGTGCGTTGTCCATCGAGAATGCCCGACAAACGTATACACTGTAATTCGATTTCTTCATCTGTTATATTTCATTCATAATTGATCTAGTTAGGTATTTTTCGACATTTGATAGCTGATCTTTCGACTTTCACAATTTGTAATATTATTATATTATATGACGAAGATATTTCCAATTCAAGTCTCAAGCGATCACTGTCCACACTGTTATGGGATCACCGGCTAGTTATACCCTTTGTTTGCCTTTGTCAGAGTGGCTAAGGGGTATTCAAAGTGCCCTCAATTAAATATGCATACGTATTTTGGTTTGTTTGTATGTATGAATGTGGATTACATGTACTTTGTTATGGTTTTTATTATGGTTAGTTTTTCGCTTTCGTTGAACCGGTTTTGTGGCCTGGAACCAGTTCACTAGTCAAATTCCAATTGCTCATGCCAGGCACGAACCTTTGTTCGCTTGCCCCGTCGTAACACAAAGTGGAAGTGGAGCATTTGCTATGCGGACTATTCCAATATTTGCCCAAACTGCATGCAGTTCACGGAGCAGCTAAATCCGTACTTGAAACCAGACCTGAAACTGAACCTAATGCTGAAGCTGATGCCCGACCTCGACAACAAAGGCGGCATTACATCAGCGCAACATTAGCTGTTGACGTTGATTGAATCGACATCGGCATCGGCATCGCTAGTGAGTCAACAACAACAACAACAACATTGGAAACATGTTAATCAACACAGACTGCTCAATTGTTCGAGTAGTTGTATCTACATATCTAACTATCTATGCATAATTTGTCACTCTGCTCAATGCGCACATTGGGGCCAAGTACCTGGCAAACGATCGTAAATAGTCAAAGGAAATCGATTGAACAAAATATGAATAATCAAAGGCCACCAGACAAGTCATGATTATTTATATGACAATGCAGCATTTACAGTTGTTATGGTTGCTGTTGCCGTTGCGCAGTTGCCACACAAGAAACGTCTTTTGGGGCTAAGACGATTGAAGCAGGCTTTGCTGCCATCCGACAAATAAATAGGTATTCAATTCAAATTTCTCGAAAACGGTATTATTTTTGTATGCGTGGTTGGGTATTCACCCACTCTCTGTGAACTTCTGTGCAGTTTCAGCTATGAAAAGTGTATTGCTAGGCTC